TATTTGGGTTACTTGCTTTTCTATTAAATGAAACTGAAATTGCTTTCATTAATATAAAAACAAATGATTTGTTGGTCTAGAAAGAACAAATTTATTTATTTTTAAATAAAATTTTAAATTTAAATATTATGAATGAAAAAATAAATATTAAAAAAGTTTTTTTCTAATAAAATTTGAATTTTTCTTTAATAAAATCTGATATAACTTATTTTTATATTAATTAAAATTTAATATGACTAAAATTAAGAAAAAAAAAAAAAAAACTAATACGAAGGCATGGGGAAAGGGGATGCCTTCCCTCCTTCTCATGGTCATGGTATAAAATACACAGATAGAGGCAAAATGCATAGGGAAAGGGGATGGCTTCCTCCTTTTTCCACTGCGTGTGATAAGGACGAGAAAGAAATCATCGATAAGAGGGAGAAAGAGAGGGAGACACAAGGGGACCACTCGTCATCACCCTCTTTCCTCTTTTTTGTCTTTGTATTTGACTACCTGCCACCAGCGCTCAGCTAATTGACACAGCTTTCTCAACTACCAAGCAACCCAACGACCACCATATATGTTTTAATTAAAATCAATCTGTGGGCAGCTTTGATTTCAGTTCTTTTTCTCTGTTCTCATGAGTTCTTTTGGCGGAACATGAGGAATTAATAAAGAATAAGTATACTACTCCATCTCTTTGAGAATAATAACTGATTTTTTATTTAAAATTTATCTTAAATTTTAATTATTTGTTGAGTAAAGCTACAAATAACTATCATTGGCATATGGCGGGCAATCAAATATATTAAAAAGTAATAATGGGATGGGCATGGTTATTGTCATTCAATAAAAATGTTAAGATTATATAAAAATATTATAATAAATACATTGGGTTTGGTTGTTAGAAATTATTGACAATTATAATTGTTAACTTAAACTAATAGAATATAGCTAATATCTATTTCCTTAACAATTTAATTAGCTTATAAACTTATATTTCTAAACACTGTAATTAGATATAAATTGATAAAATCAATTAAACTAAACACATTTACAGCATTTTGTGTGGCCTTAACATTTATTCACCTGCCAATAACCATGGCCGGATGGATAGTTGGAAATTAGAATTCTTCTACCTAAATGATATTTTCTAGTTTATGAAGGACCAGTTAAAATATATGAGCCGGATGTTGCAGTCGACTCAGCTAGGCCCATGATCCACCACTGAATCCCTTGAGGGGCCTACTCTGTTCCTCCAGTTTTGAGTTATCTGGATTAAAAATCAGAATCCCCTCCATTGTCAAATAAGGAAGAAGAAAATTTGGGATCCTACACTACAGCTGAAAAGGCACCTGAAGTCAAGGGATGCAAGATCCTTGCTTCAGATGCCTGTGCTTTGCAGCAGCAAAAACAGAGCACCCCATTCTTGGGCACATTCCAATATATCATGAACTCATGCTTTAGACATTATAAGTGAAAATAGAGTTTCATTGAATGTAAGTTGTAGAACTACCTTCCAATCTGGTTCTTATCCAAAGTCAGTCTTGGCACCTGAGTTGCAAAATTCCAATAGAGGCATTGCTAAAATTAAGTTTTTGCCATTACCCTAACAGCTCTGCCCCTTTTTTTTATCCACCCACTGCCCTACACTGCCCTACAGCAACATTTCTTGATAATTTTTTAGGGCTATAGAAAGATAAAAACATGGATGGAAGAGCAAATAGCTTCTGGTTGTGATATTCTGGCAGTGGCATGTTGTGACTAGTAGACATATGGTAATATTCTCCATGGGACGAGACTACGGTATTCTGCCCATATTTCTTTGTACTTTGCTGCACAGCGAGCTTCGTCTCTCCTTTCTCTCCATATCAGCAGAATAAGAAGATAAATTGGGTAGAAATATGGAATTGGTGAGCTGCAAAAGGAGTGAATTTCAAAGAGAAAATTGTTTACTAGAGGAAAGAGGAGATTACATATCCGCTCATAGTGCAAAGGGGTTTGGAAAGTTACCTTATTCCACATGGTAAACTGAAGGAAAGTGCCAGCAGCAAGTCCCCGAGATAATTACAGTGCCTTGCAATTCCCCTTTACCAATGAACAACAAAAATTTCAACAATAACATGAGATTAAGCATCAGAAGATTGCACATACAAGAGGAGTGATAGCAATTATGCCAATGTTTATAAAAAAATTACTCAAGTTAGGATTGAAACTTACCAATAACCAGAAGCAAGGAGCTTCCCCCCAATAACTTTTGGTGGCTTGCCCCATATATGTGCCTTGGGATTCTTCTTGAAAATATGCTTTTGCTTGTTAGCTCCTCTAAATACCATATATCTGCCCAGTTTAATTTATAATGAGTCCAACTGAGAAGAGGTTTTCTCAAAGTCAGGTTGAAGCAGACAAAAACTTCCCAAACTTCCTAATAAATACTTTACCCAATTAGAAACACTAAGCAATTTGCTATAACTGCAGCAGTGGTTAGCTCCACCTTATTGCTCAAAAGCCACCAACCCTATATAGCAAAGGAAGAGAAGAAGTTTATACAAAATAAAACAATTTTGATATGGTTATTCATGTTAGAGGTTTTAAAGCTTTCAAGCTTCTGTGAAATTTATATCTTACACTAATTATAAAATTATTATGCAACCATATTGGGTAAATGATGGACAAAAGTTAATACTCAAGAAGGTAAGATCCTGAGATGCAAAAGGAGTTGAACTGGAATCATCACTTCTATCGGAAAGAAGCTAGTAATGAATTTCTGGTTTGTAGGTTTGAAAAACCTATAGTAATGTATGGTAACAAGATTAATGAAGCACATGGAGACCAAGCACATATTGCATATCACCAAGAAACAAACAATTCTTTGTGTTAGCTAAGCTATAGGTCACATGCCTGGATGCTGAAAGTGAAAGGAATCCACACTAAATCTCCAAAGACCAACATGAAGCCCAATCTCTCAGCAATTATGTCCCACCTGGAAAATGACATGAAAAATAAATGGTCAAGTTAGCATGTTAACCTGTAGAGTACTGATGAACAACTTCATAATAAGTCAATCAAATAACGAGGACAGTAGTGCAAGCAGAACCATAACTTGGATCTTTTTTAGCCCATGAGAATTAATTTAACCAAATTAAGCAGGAAGTTTCATGATTCAAAATCTTAAAACATGAATCAGGCAACAATTTACCTCCTTAGGCTTTGCTTAAAAATTGAGATTAGACATCATGTCTAGATTAAACTAGGTATTCTTATGTAGCTTTATTTAGTTTGCTTCCCCTAAAAGAGCAAATTTATAGAAAAGTTTAGAAACTATGGTAAATCATACATGATTAACACATGAACCAGAACATCTCAAGGGCAAGAAAACCATACGGTGGCAGCACTCAAACCTATTCAATGATAAGCAAAGGTTAGGGAAAAATTCAGGCTTGACTTAGAACCCAAAGTTAGTACCTATCTGTGGGATTCTTACCAATATGAAGAACAATACTTTACCAGGAACCAAAAGAATGATTACCTGGCATACATAATCAAACCAAGAAACAAAGGCATTGCATGATAAATTATAGTAACTATGTTTTCTAATCATAAGGTAAAACTAATATCTGGAAAATAATAATTCTTTAGGAGAGATAGACATAGAGATACTTACGTTGAGGTCATATATTCCTCATGAATAAAGTAATCCAGGACATATAACTGGAAGAAGAAAGCATAAAAGACCACTTAGCATTGCCATGCAGATAACATACTGAAAAGAAATGGTAACACCAATTTGCATCGTCAAATTACCGCACAAAATAGCTGGTACAGGACCATTGATCTGCTTAAAGTGCCATCTAGAATACTTTTTGCCAGAAGAGATAGGTTGATCAGTAGCCATCCCATCATTCCAGCTCTAACAAAGAAGAATCTGTGCAAAATATTCCACTATCATTACATACCTTTTTCATTGTAACATGTTATGTTCAGTGACAGAGAGTTCAACCAGGAAAGAACAATGAGGGAATAGAACCATCAAGCATTGGAAAAGTTGGTCAACTATAATCTGAAAGAAACTGTGCAGTTTGAAATTAGCTACATATTTCCAAAGGAGCTCTCATTTACATAACTATGTAATACTATTGTGTATGTAGTTTATCAATCAGTTCTCTCTCCCTCTTCTGTTGGTTTACAATTTAACACTCTGAAACCCAAAAAACTTGCCCAGAAAATTGTAGAGCCAATTACATACTTGAGATCAATGCCCATAAACTGAGGATTTAGTTGTATGCCAAACCACCTGTAAAACAAGACAAAGGTAGCAATGTCAAGGTAATAGACCAATGTAAATTCTTGCTTGCTCAAAAGGAAATATAAAAAATAAAGGCAGGAAAGTAGTAATCAATATTACTCGCTGAAATCAATTTTCCACTAAAATTGAAATCCCAAAGCCTAATTGTTGAAGTGAATGTTACTTGGAGTTATGGATGTTTGTTAATGAGCATACCAGTCATGTATTACGTTTCCTGTGACATGAGGCCTCAGAGAAGAACCCTGACTGTGGGAACTGCAGCCAGAAGCATAGAGTGCCAGCGTAACCTGGCACAAGGGAACACAAAGAGAAATGGAAATACTAATTAGAAAAGAAGAAAACACTACAGACAGACAAATTCAGACAAAAGACCATGAAAAGAGCCAATAGTAAATTACTAAGACCTAGAGCAATGTAATCAGAGGCTAATCTTAGCACCAGAACACTATGTTGAAACAGAGCCATAAGTGAGGAGCTTCTCTGTTTAGCAAAGAAAATGCAAATTGAAAACTGAGAAGAAAAGAGTAGTAACACTTAAAATGTAACAATTATAAACAGTCCAAGAACTGAACAGTGAGAATACAATGACCCATAAGTATGAACCTTTCTGCCTTCAAAACAAAAGCTGAAAGATACACGATGTTTGAGACAATCAGGTAAACACCTAATATTTAGAATGCAACAATTACAAAATGGATAATAGGAAAAACCCCTTCCCGTACCCCACCAACAGACAAAATATCCACTTAGATCTTCTGCATATCTGTTTGGATCTTAAATCAACTAGGTGCCCAGTGGCAAACTAAATTCAGGAGAGATTTTCCCTTTTCAATAATTTTAGTGCCTGGTGTCCAAGTTAACCTATTTACTCACAAAATAAAGCTCTTCAGGTAATTTACACGGTTGAGGAGTGGCCCGACTGGCAGGAATCAGGATCTCTGTCAGAAAAGTGATAATCATCTAATATTTGGGATTTTTTAAACTTGCAATCAGACATATAATTGCACTCATGAGACAGTTAACAGATGAAATTCAGGAACTTTGAGTGCCACAGTTGGAAAATAGACTACCATATGCGACTTGCCTAACATTTCAGAATTAGAAAATGAGTAACTTACAAAAGCACTGAATACGAAAGTTGCAGATAGTAGCTCCAGCCCTCTATCTGATATCACCTGCAAACATTTGCATTCTCTTAACAGGCACACAAACACACTCAATTCTTAGCATATCCGATCCGGAATGATTTTAAAGAAACATCAATTAACTGCACTGCATGTTCATCTTGAGTAAAGATAAATTAAATAATAAAAAAAGAATCAAACAAACATACAGTGGGTGATATGATATTCAGCTGAGAACCAATCCCAAGAAGCCCAACCAGCAAAAGGAGTGCCCGCAGCCCTACACTCGGAAAAAAAGTTCAATGCTTTAGATTAAAAAGCATCAATTGAATCGGCATAAAGAGATAAAATACCATTGCAACGATAATGGAGACGAGTGCCATCCTGCAACACCACACCAGGAACAACTTTCCCAGGAAGAATAGATCCAGCAATCGCCAAGTAAGTAAAATAACCCAGTAATACACCACTCTGCAAAAGCAGAACTCAAGAATTAGGATCGGAAGAAGTAGTGGGTAAGACCAAATTTTGACTAGAATGGCAATGAACTTGATGGAAGAATCGCTCACAGTGATCCAAGAGGGAATTAGAGCGTGTAGAAGAAAACCCAGATCCATTTTCTTACTGGGAAGTGAAGATACTATGGTAGAGTCAGAGTACGTAGCTGCTGCTCCTCTGCTTTGATTCCGGGAGTCAGATTGGCTGACTCTGTTTTGTGCTTTCAACACTGTTTTGGCTTTGGTCCTGATTTTACGGTCCAGGAAAGTCAAGATTAAATTGACGGAGTTATAATAATAATTTTTACCTTTGAAATGAGGGTTAAAAACTATTTTCTTTTATTTTAAATAACACAATATAACCTAACACAGCCGAATAACTAATTTTTTTTAATATGTTAAAAATAATAATATAATAATAATAATATTTTTTTATTAACCTTCTTATCCGATAACCACATTGATTCTGACTAATTCAAAATTAAGTTGCGTTCAGATACCATTAAGGAAAAAGCTCTTCCAACGCTTATTTTTTCATTTACAATATTCAAATTCAAAACTTTACTTAATATGAACTGAACTCATTCTATTCAGATCAACACGTTATGATTTTTTTTTTGTTAACTTATCTAATAAATAAACAAATTTATTTTACAATTCAGTACTAAATTATAAAATTAAAACATTTGAATTAAAGAAAAAAAGCCGAATACCAATGGCCCTCTTTAATTTAAGAGTTTTATTTTATAATTTAATATGCTTTGAATTATAAAATAAAATTTTTAATAAAAAAATTCAATTCCTTATCAAGTGAATTTAAAATATTATTTTTTTTATTTTATTAAGACAACGTTACCGATTACTACTTAAATATTTAA